CCTAGATCTATATCAAATTTAGGCAATCTCTTATCTTTAGATCTTAGCCACAACAACTTAGGAGGGCAAGTCCCTAACTATATATCAAAATTACGCAATCTCTTATCTTTAGATCTCAGCCATAACAATTTAGGAGGACGAGTCCCTAGATCTATATCTAAATTAGTCAACCTCACATCCCTTGATCTTTCCTACAATAAGTTAGAAGGTCAAGTACCTCATTGTATTTGGACATCGTCGGATTTTCGGTCTCTAAAGCTTTCTCACAACGGTTTCACCAGTTTCGAGGAGATTATCAATGAAACATTATTAGAACAGTTGGATCTAGGTTCAAATTCACTCCAAGGACCATTTCCCCAATGGATATGCAACTTCACAAATTTGTTGTACTTAGATTTGTCCAACAACCATTTCACTGGCTCGATTCCTGGATGTTTGAAGAATTTCTATCTTATTGGGTTAAATCTGAGAAACAACAGTCTAAGTGGGTTTCTACCAGATTTATTCACCAATTACACATCCTTACAATCAATTGATGTCAGCCTCAACAATTTGGTGGGAAAACTTCCAAAATCTTTGATCAACTGCGAGTGGCTGGAATTTCTGAATGTGAAAGGAAACAAGATCAAGGACACGTTTCCATTTTGGTTGCGATCTCTACCATATTTAAAAGTTCTTATGCTCGGATCAAATGCATTTTATGGTCCCGTCTATAACCCCTCTGCATATTCAGGGTTTCCAAGTATGAGGATCATTGATATATCTAGTAACAATTTTGTTGGATCATTGCCACAAGACTATTTCGCCAAGTGGCTTGAAATGTCACATGTGTGGAGTAATGAAGGCACCCCAGAGATGAACTACATGAGCGTTAATTCCACTACGTATGATTCAATTGATTTGGTGTATAAAGGAGTAGACACATATTTTCTTCGAATCTTTCAAGGCTTCAGAGCCATTGATTTTTCTGGAAACCGATTCTACGGACATATCCCTGGATCCATTGGTCTACTGAGGGAATTACGTCTTCTCAACTTGTCAGGTAACACATTCACAGGCAACATCCCACCATCCTTGGCGAATATTAGAAACCTCGAGACATTGGACCTATCACGGAATAACTTGTCAGGTAAAATTCCTCAAGGTCTCGGGAAACTCACGTTTCTGTCCAACATCAACTTCTCCTACAATCATCTTGAAGGATTTGTGCCACGGAGCACACAGTTTGGAAGTCAAAACTGTTCTTCATTCGTGGGCAATCCTGGACTTTATGGCCTCGACGACATTTGTAAAGATGTCCATGTCCCCGAGGAATCTTTGTCGGAACAGGACGAGCCGGTGTTGAATTGGATAGCAGCCGCGATAGCGTTTGGACCTGGTGTGTTTTGTGGATTAGTGATCGGTTATATCTTCACTTCATACAAACACAAGTGGTTTATATTATCTCGTTATGCCCAGCTCCCTCTCGATTTCGTCAAGTTTGTACTCCGGTAACTAGTTCGCTAAGTGTTTATTCTATCCTTGTAATTTTTCATTTTGTGGTTGTCTTATAAACAACGTCAATGTTTATACTTGCATATGTTTCTCAATTATAAAGCTTTAACAAAGCGTCTTGAAAATCATGATTAATACTTTAAACTCTCCATTTATCTCTAATTTGAGCCTTAAAAACTTTATCTTAAAATGTCCAGAAACAGAGGATATAAATCCTTAAATGACCCCCCCGGCTAATGAAGAAGGTTTGGGATAAATATTCATTTAAAATCATTATTTGTGGAAATTTTTGTAGAAGAATCGTAGAGGATTTGTTATTTATTCATAGAAGAACTTACTAAGAAAGAAGATAAACCTCTCTTGACTAGTGGATTTGCTCTTTCTTCACCTCATAACCTATTTCTCACGGCATTACAGAAGTTACCGTTTTCTGTATTTCTTTTTTGTGACGTATGGGTTTTTAGCCTCTCTATTTTTTTTTTCTGTTCAGTTTTGTATAATCATGAAGAAATCAAGTCTCCCGCTTAAACGGTTTTTAATATACATTAGACAAAGCTAAACCAAATGAACCGATTAACCCCAAACCCATTTCACACGGCAATATGTATGTCTTTTCGTTTGTACATTTATTGCCATCTACTTTTGTGTTTCTAGAGCTTTGGTTGGTGTCAACAAAAACAACTAAATTAAAAGGAAGACTTGCCAAGTCAAGGTCCTTATCGAGAATGTTCTTATATAAAGAAAAATGTGTAAGCAAGACATCTCTCTCACACATACCAATTTTTTTTTTTATAAATTTTTTTAGCATGATTCGAAGCCAAAATTATTGCTTTATTGGTATTATTACCATCTATTTCTTATTTTCCCTTCAACCTTTACCAAACACCATCGCTTCTCCCACACGGTTCCTGTGCCGCCGCGACCAAAGAGATGCTCTATTGGAGGTACAAAAGGATTTCCATGTACCAATAACTACATGGAACAAGACCGTTGACTGCTGTTCTTGGTGGGGTGTCAAGTGTGATGCTATCTTGGGAAAGGTGATATCACTTGAAATCCATTCCGTGAACTATAATATTGCCAACAGCTCTTTGAAACCAAGCAGTGGTATTTTTAAACTCCAACATCTGCGTGAGCTAGATCTTTCAAATTGCGGTCTCCAAGGGGAGATTCCTCCTTCAATTGGAAATCTTACTCATCTCACATCTCTCGATCTTTCGAATAATGATCTTAGAGGTAATATTCCTACTTCATTTGCCAACTTTACCAAGCTTTCTGTATTGCACCTCCCTCGAAATTCATTCACCGGTGGAGATATAGTATTAGCCAATTTAACCAGCTTATCCTTTATAGACCTCTCTCACAATCACTTAAAATCCTCGATTTCTGCTGACCTAAGTGGACTCCACCACTTAGAGCGGTTTTTAGTGTCCAACAACTTATTTTTCGGACCTTTTCCCTCATCCTTGCTTATGATTCCTTCGTTAGTGGAGATCAATTTGAGCCGAAACCAATTCATGGGACCTATTGATTTGGGGAATAATACCTCTTCATCATCCCAACTTGAAAAGATAAATGTTGGCTACAACAATTTTGATAGTCTAATCCCAAAATCTATATCTAAATTAGTCCATCTAGATTATTTAGATCTTAGCCATAACAATTTCCGAGGACGAGTCCCTAGATCTTTATCTAAACTAGTCTACCTCTATAATCTTGATCTTTCCTACAACAAGTTGGAAGGTCAAGTTCCTCATTGTTTAGGGAGATCACCTAAATTGGCGTCTGTGGATCTTTCTTATAATTCTTTCAGCAGTTTCGGTAAATCTGTGGAACTTGGAGATGGAGGATCATTAGAAATGTTGAATCTTGGTTCAAATTCACTCCAAGGACCAATTCCCCAATGGATCTGCAACTTCAAATCATATCTATCGCTCTTAGATTTGTCTAACAACCATTTCACTGGCTCAATTCCTCAATGTTTAAAGAATTTCACTGATCTTGTTACGTTAAATCTGCGAAACAATAGTCTAAGTGGATTTCTGCCAGATTTATGCATCAATGGCTTTCAGTTAGGATCACTTGATGTCAGCCGCAACAATTTTGTGGGTAAACTTCCAAAATCCTTGATCAACTGCAACTCTTTGGAATTTCTTAATGTGAGAGGGAACAAAATCAAGGACACGTTTCCATTTTGGTTGGGCTCTCTACAAGCCTTAAAAGTTCTTGTGCTCCAATCAAATGCATTTTATGGTCCAGTCTACAACTCCTCTACCTACTTAGGGTTTCCAAGTATGAGGATCATTGACATATCTAACAACAACTTTGTTGGATCATTGCCACAAGACTATTTTGCCAATTGGCCTGGAATGTCATTGGTGTGGAGTAATGATGGAGGCAGTCCAGAGTCAGAGTACATGGGGGATTTTACAACTGGGCATGAAGTTTCGATTGATTTGGTTTACAAAGGAGTTTTCACAGATTTTGATCGGATTTTTCAAGACTTCAAAGCCATTGATTTTTCGGGAAACCGATTCTCAGGACATATCCCCGGATCCATTGGTCTATTGAGCGAATTACGTCTTCTCAACTTGGCAGGCAACTTATTCACAGGCAACATCCCACTATCCTTGGAAAATATCACAAAGCTCGAGACATTAGATCTATCACGAAATAACTTGTCAGGTGAAATCCCTCGAGGTCTTGTGAAACTCTCGTTTTTGTCCAACATCAACTTTTCCTACAACCATCTTGAAGGATTGGTGCCACGGAGCACACAGTTTGGAACTCAAAATTGTTCTTCATTCGTCGGTAATCCTGGACTCTATGGCTTCAAGGAATTTTGTGGAGAAAGGCATCATGTTCCTGTTCCTACATCTCAGCAACACGAGGAACCTTTGTCGGAACCGGAAGAGCCAATGCTGAACTGGATAGCAGCCGCGATAGCGTTTGGACCTGGTGTGTTTTGTGGATTGGTGATCGGATATATGTTCACGTCATACAAACACAAGTGGTTTATTTTATCTCGTTAAACCCATCTATCTCGCGGTTTCGTCAAGTATGTACTCAGGTAACTAGTTCGCCAAAGTGTTTATTCTATCCTTGTAATTTTCCATTTTGTGGTTGTCTTATAAACAGTGTCAATGTTATAAAAGCTACTCCCTCTGTTTTTTAAAAGTTGTCGTTTTAACTGTATTTAGACAAATTAAGAAAAGGTATACAATGACTATATTACCCTCATAAAAATGACAAGTAATTATTTACAAATAATTTGTGTTTAATTAAATGAGGGTAATTTGGGTAGTTATTGGCATAAGTTACATTATTACCTTAAAACGACAACTAATTTAAAACAAAAAAAATGCTCTAAAACGACAACTATTCGAAAACGGAGGGAGTATTATGTTTTCACCATTTTGTGTAATATAGTCCATGTTTATGTGTTGGTATATCTATTTGAGCCAGTTATTGTGGATTCTATAAGCTTGAAACTCATTTTAAGTCGACCAAAACCAAATACTTTATTATGCCAAGCAAGTCAAACACTTGCTTGTTGATTGAAATCAGGCTATATAATTCTCTTCTTCACATACAGCGGTTTAGATTCACAATACAACAAGCGAATGATAAAGTTTCTTAGAGAGCCTTGAGGATATCCTCTGCGCTGGAAACCGTGAACTCGCCACCATTTTCGACATTGGCTACAATCACCTTAAGGTCATCGAGCAACAGAGCAAATCTCCTTGACCTAATACCAAGACCCTTGTCCTTGAGATCAAGCTCAAGTCCAAGAAGATGTGTGTATTCTCCAGACCCATCTGCTACAAACTTCACATGCTTGTTTTCTGTGTATGTTTTTCCCCATGCCTTCATCACAAATGGATCATTCACTGCAACAACAAAATGAATTCAACATTTTTTTGGTCACTATACACAAACTCATAGAGGCAAGAACAAAGCAGAGACCCAAAACATATCATTACATACTTACCACTAAAGCAAATGATCTCATCAATACCCTTTGATTTCAGCTCCTCTGCCTTCCCAATGAATCCAGGCACATGGCTCATGCTAACCTCACAAAAACCAAAAACACAAATCAAGACACACATCTTATAAAACTAATTCAAAGGATAAATCTGAAAAAAGTTTGTACCTGCATGTGGGAGTGAAAGCTCCGGGAACACCAAAGAGAATGACTTTTTTACCGGCGGCGATAGAGTGAACGGAGACGGTCTGAAGCTGATCATTTTCATCGAAGAAAGAGATAGTTCCGTCTGGTACAACATCGCCGACAGTAATTGGAGCCATGAAGAGATCTCTGTTGGATATGAAGACTAGGGGAAAATAGAAGAGTTTTGACTTGAGAGCAAATATGAATTTAGGGTCTTAGGACAAATTTATAGTGTTTTATGGAATGAAGTAAATCATTAATAGATTGTGGCGTGGATTTAGCTTCTTTTTCCTTTTTTTCTTATGTTTTTCTATGTTCAATTTTGTATAAGCCATAAAGAAATCAAATCTCCCGCTTCATTGTCTTTTTAACCGTTTTTATATACATAGAGACACAGCTAAAAATCTACCAAAACTTTTCAACACTAAAGCTCGTCGTCGTCGCAATCTCCAATCCCAACAAGAGATGAGAGAGTTGAGATCCATAATTCTAATCCTCGCTTAATCTCTTTTTTCCTAATTTCTTCGATCTTACGAACAGCTTTTTTCGACATCCCGAGTTTCATCAGAATGGTTCCAAGTGATTTGAATGTCGAGTCATCGGGTTGAATTCCGGATGAAACCATCTCTTTGAAAGTCTCAACAGCTTCTTTGAATCTTCCGTCTAAAGCAAATAAACCGAGAACGCTGTTATAACTCAACGGATCAGTTAGAATCTTCATCTCTCTCATCTGTTTTGCTATCTGAGTCGCTTCTTCAAACCTACCGTTCTTCTTGTACATACATAACATCATCGCAAAGGTAAACTCGTTTGCTTCTCCTCTCTGTTTCATGCTTTCGAATATAGCTTCTGCTTTTCTCACCATCGATCTTTCACTATACAGGTTGATCATACAATTTGATGTATATACATCCGGATACTGTGTCTCGTTACACGATCGAAGAAGCTTTCTGTATATTGCTTCAGCTTCATCTAAGTACCCGACTTTAGTGTAGAGCTTGATCAGAGAATTGTATATAACAGAATTTCCCGGAATTCCAGCTTCTTTCATCGCTTCTACATAACTCATAGCTTGCTGAACGTTTCCAGTATCCGCAAAAGCATTGATCAGAACTCCATAAACAACAACATCAGGTTCGATATTGTACTCAACCATCTCTTTATACACTTCCTCTGCCATATTGAGCTGACCCAGTTTCACAAAGCTCGAAATCACAGCGCAGTAAGGTATGCAATCGCTCACATATCCCGTCTCTCTCATTTTCACCAGGTAGCATCTGGCTTTATGAGGCATGTCGGCGCTCGCAAGGATCTGGATGAGAGTATTATATGTACACTTATCCGGTGTGACCCCATAACTCATCATGCTCTCAAATAACTCACACGCCTTTTCACAGCTTTTCCCGATTCCATACGCTTTGATCATTACGTTGTGCTCAAGAACTGTTCTCTTATTCACTTCTTGGCAGCAGATAAATACCCTCTCGGCTTCTGATAAATATCCACGCTCACCATATGCATCGATGTTGGCTGAATAGCCTGCAGAACTCATATTACCCGCAACATGAAACCTTTTGAACCATGACCATGATTTCTCAAGCATCTCTGCTTCTATATACATTCTAGTGAGAGCAGATTGTGTATACTCATCAATCTCAACATTATTATCATCCATCTCAGCTATAAGCCCTTCAGCTTCCTCAACCATATGTCTAATCGAGAATGCATAGAGGAGGGTGCGGTAACTTACAGGGTCCGGTTTAAGCCCAGCGTCTTTCATTTCCTTGAAGTAGGTCCCTGCCCTTTCTATATCATTGTTCTTCGTGTGAAGTGAAATCAGAATGTTATATGTTCTTGTATCAGGTGCACAATGAAGCTTCATTGTTTTCATCAAAGAAGTGACTTCACCAAGCTGACCATTATTGCCATAAACATGAATCATGGTATTAAAAGTCACTGTGGTTGGAACAATCCCTTCTTCTAGCATCCTCTTGAACGTCTCTGAAGCCTCTTTTATCTGACCGGACTTACCATACGTATCAATCATCGTGTTGTAAGTATAAGAGCTCAAGCAAACATGTGAATCCAGCTTGTTTTCGTCACACGACCATTTCTTGAAAAACTCCTCTGCTTTTTGAAACTCTCTTGCCTTTTTATACATTTGAAGAACAATCCCCGTCGTAACTTCATCAGGCTGCATCCCAATCTTACTCATCTTCCCTAGCCAACAAAGCGCATGTACTTTAAGCCCGCCTTTGCTATAAACATCGATAAGAGTCCCATACGTCGAATTAATCGGCTTGATACCTTTCCTAATCATTTCATCCCACAAACTCTGCACATACCTCCATTTACAAGCTTTCCCAAGTATCCGAAGCATGATATTATAATGAATCACATTCAATTCATAACAACCCTTACTCTTAAACCACTCGAAAATCTCCACCGCTCTCTCCCACCGTATCTGCTCCTTTAATATAATCGTCCTCTCCTTGTTACTAAGCCTCTCTGCCCACGGACTCAACGCATCTTCAACATCCTCAATACAATCCAAAGCCTCAAGAATAGCAGGAATACATCCTCCGTAACTCAGACGTTTCGTCGAACACTTGGTGTGCACTTTACCAACCATACCATTCCCACCAAATCCGCCATCTTTACCTCTCCTATCAACAAACCCATCACTAAAACTTGATTTTCCGACGCAACCATTACCTGGGTTTACGAAAAGTAAGTTTTTTCCGGCGACAACTTCATGAGCAACAGTACCACAACCTCGGTCACCATGTCTGGTGCTTCTTTGTAGTCCCTTGTCACTTTCGTGAGTTCCTGGTACGTAATTCTGCTTCACTTTCTTGACGGATGGGAATTTATCGAGAGGCGAAATCGGTAAGGTTTTTGTAGAACAGAGAACATGTAAGCTACTTCCATCTAAACGAAGATTCAACAACATTTTTCAACTGCAACGAGCATTAGTTTATTTACGAGAGAAAAGGAAGAGAATTTGCACTGCCAATTGCAACGACGGTGGTATATACTTCTCCGGCGAGCGTGATTCTCTGTAAAATTCCGACGAGTTTTTTTTTCGGGCGAGTTGCAAATGGATAAAATTGCGCGCGCGAAGGTCCTTTTTCCGATTGGGGAGAGAACTAGAGAAGACATTTGGGGGTTAAATTGATAATTTCGTAATAATTTAAGCCCTTAAAGGAAATAAAAAAAACGTTGTGATCTCCTGAAGTTTTTATTTAATTATATAAATCAACTCTATATATATATTTGTTTTCCAAATATTCCCAAACCTTTATCATATGCTCATAAAGAACCCTGAAAAACAGATACTGCAATTTTATTTTCTACTCTACACATTTAACCTCCAAACTTCGTTACACAGGAAAAACATATTTGAAACTAGTCATTGTTGCGGTATTCGGTTCGGTTCCGGTTCAGTTCTCGTGAGTCCTTTTTGTAGTTTAAATCTCTAATCTTAAAGAGGATCTTGTATGAATTGTATATTTTTTACATCTTCCAGAACTAAATGTGGTAATGGCCGGTCTAAACCTAAACAATTAGAAACATTAAGGCCTTACGTTTTTACAGTTAGGCCGCTATCTTCCAGAATTAAATGTTGTAAGGGCCGGTCCAAACCCAAAAAATTTAAGAATATTTTGAGTGGTCGGTTTTTAGATTATAGATAGATATTGATTTTTGAGTTTTGAATTTTGCAAAAGAGAGAGGGAAAAATGAAAAAAAATTGTTTGAGTCCAGAAATTAGTAATGATTGAGATTAGGATTAACGAAAAGAAGAAGACGATGCAAGTGGAAGTCAATTCCACAAATAGGTGACCAACCTGAGTAATTTATTTTCTTTGTATTTGTTGTTTTTCCCCCATAATTTCTTGGTATTTAAGTAATAGCCCATAATAATATGATAATAATCAATCTAATCGAAATAAACTAGTATTAATCGATCTTACCCAAGAAAAACTAATACTATTTCTATCTGTTTCATTATATTAAATGTTTTTTCAATTTCATATTATCACATTTTTACAAGTTTTTATAAAAAATATTCAATTTTTATTTGGTTTTTAATTAGTAATATTATATTATTATGCAATATTTTTTACGATTGGTAGAATTGTTTAGGTTAGATATAAATTTATGTTTTTAATGTAGATACAACAAAATTATGACATAATAAATCTCGCATTTTAGCTAAAATATCTAATAAGCTGAAGAGATGGAGTAATAATCGAATTATCTCATGTGGAGGTGAATTTTTCGCTAAATAAGTAAATATTGATATTTTCTTAGAGGGAAAAAACCCGAAAAAACCGCCATCTATTTTTTATTTGGCCGTTTAATACATGTACTTTTAAAATTGGAATAAAAATTCCTTCTTTATTTTTTGTTGTCTTTTAAAACCATGGTGTTTTAAAACTTGGTAATTTGGTACCTGCGAGTTAACAGCCGTTAACTTTGCTAACAGAATGGGTAACTGGGGTTAAATCTTAACCCATGTATTTAAATAGATATATATACAACATGTTTACATATTATTGCGAAAAAACTTACATGGTCTGGTGGTAGGAAGCAGTTTTGGCCCAGTCTGCCACCGGGTTCGAGGACTCCTGGTAACGAAATTCTTTTTATTTTACTAGTAATTTTTTTCCTCCTTCAGAGAAACCCTAGCCGCTGTCGACAACAAAACTCCGGCCACAATTCCTCCGACGGCCAATAGAGTTCTGGGCTTTTTGACTATCTTTTTTTTTGAACAACTAATGTTTGACTCCCAGACTTTCTTCGTATCAAAAATCTCTATCAAATCTCTGAGCTGCTTCAGATATACTCTGATAGAGAAGAAGAAGAAGAAGCGATCAGCTGAGCAATGGCCACCGCGATACCTCTCTTCGCTTCTTTCAAGTACACCGATAGTCTCACCGTCGTCGGAATCTCCTTCTGCACGGCGTTGGTCTGCGAAGCAATCTCATGGATCCTAATCTACCGCACGAGCTCTTACAAATCGTTGAAATCTTCCATTGACAAAGCCTCCAGGAAGCTGGAGACGATGAAGACAGATAATCCTTCTTCGAAGCTAACAAACAAGAAATCGAAGACGAAGAAGATAGATCGCGTTGTATCCAGCTTAAAGGAATCGAGCAGAGATCTGTCGCTCTTCAAGTTTAAATCTGGTGCCGTTGTGGCTTTGGTTCTCTTTGTTGTGTTTGGGTTGTTGAATTCGCTTTTCGAAGGGAAAGTTGTAGCGAAGCTTCCGTTTCATCCGGTTACGATTGTGAGGAAGATGAGTCATAGAGGATTGAAAGGAGATGATTCCACTGATTGTTCCATGGCTTTTCTTTATCTGCTGTGTTCTATTAGTATTAGGACTAATCTCCAGAAGTTTTTGGGTTTCTCTCCACCTAGAGGAGCTGCTGGTGCTGGTGGTTTGTTCCCTATGCCCGATCCAAAGACGAATTGATCTGATGATGAATTGGAAAAAAATTAGTAAAAAAAAAAGAATTTCGTTATCAGGAGTCCTCGAACCCGGGTGCAGACTGGGCCAAAACTGCTTCCTACCACCAGACCATGTAAGTTTTTTAGCAATAATATGTAAACATGTTGTATATATATCTATTTAAATACATGAGTTAAGATTTAACCCCAGTTACTCATTCCGTTAGCAAAGTTAACGGCTGTTAACTCGCAGGTACCAAATTACCAAGTTTTAAAACACCATGGTTTTAAAAGACAACAAAAAATAAAGAAGGAATTTTTATTCCAATTTTAAAAGTACATGTATTAAACGGCCAAATAAAAAATAGATGGCGGTTTTTTCGGGTTTTTTCCCTTTTCTTAGATAATAATAACCTTGGTTAAACTTTAAACAAAAAAAAAATCAATAAATAACCTTGGCTAAACAAATGATTATAAGTTTCAGAAATTTAAAATATTATGTTCGTGATCAAGAACAGAAAACTGATCTTATAGAACATTGCTACTTAATACATCTACAGATTGTGTATGTGTCCGTATTATACATAAAATCTCATGTATCTTTACATCAAACTCCTTCAAATCTAAAAACAAAAACAAAAAGAACATCACTAGAGATGGATCTCTCATCGGACAAAACCCCGAAGTTTCGTTTCTTGTGGTCAACTTTAGTCAAACTTCGATCAGAATCAAACCAAAAAGGGTTTTTCATTCATCGATTATAGTCATCATCTCCCTTAAAACAAAAGCTTCTCATCCTCTCTGGATCATAAGGAAGAGTCTAGAGCAGGAGCGTCGGAACCCTTCATGATTCTGAGTCTCTTACAAGATGAAGAGAACATGTCCCATGGAACATCACCAACCAACATCCAATCTCCATCTTTATCCTCGTATGTTGGTACAAATCCAGATCCTTTGTATCCTTCTCTCTCACAATATTGACCTATCGTGACTTTGAACATGCTCTCTAACGCCTTGAGAAGCTCAGGGTAGTTTTTGTATGTCTTGAGATCGATCTTGCGGAGGTAAGGAGCTCCGTCCATACTCACTTTCACGTAGCTCACACTGTTGTTGTTCTTACGGGAAGATCTCACCGGTGGCCAACCAACGATTTGAGTTCTGTAAATTGAGCAAAGAAAGATTAGTAAAACTATTCAAGAGCTAATATAGTTTGAGAGAAGCCAATTTGAAACTCAGATCTCTACTTACTTGGTAGGAGGTGTAGATTCTTCTTCCTCACGAGTTTCCTCAAATTGACGCTTGTTGTTGCTTTTAACACAAGAAACCTCTTGCTCTTCTTTGATTTCCTCTGTTCTTCCTGGTAATCCAAGACATAGCTCTGTGTCCTTAAGGTTAAGCTCGTTGACTTTCTCGTACGCCATTGCTTTTTGATCAATATCAATCTTTGTGATTCCTTCTTGTTTGTGTTTCTTGTGTTCTTTGTTGCTGTTGTGAATTTCTTGTTCTTGTTGTTCTTGTTCTTGTTCTTGGTGAGTTTGGTTGATGAATTTAGAGAAATGGGGAGAGATATATATATAAAGGAGCATCAAAGTTAGGGTTAAAGGAAGAGAGAGAAGTGTTGTCGGGAGCATGAAGGCAAGAAAGAGGCAAGGGGACAAAAGTGGGACACGAAGCCTGAGGCCGCCCATGTGGACACGACTCTTTTGTTTAATTATTCCACGCTCCTCTTTTCCCTCCGCCAACTTTGTTTACGCTAACATCTTAGCCGTCCATCTCTCTTGCCTCTTCTTACAAAGGATGTATAATAATTATAACCAAGAATATAAAAATGAATGAAATGATGAGAATTCTATCGGCCGACCCGGAATAAAAGCAAACAGATAAAAATAAAGAGGTGTATTATTATAACATTTTATATACTGTTTCTTAAAGGTTTTTTTTTCCTTTTTGAAAGTGTATAGTGCAGGTTATAAAGAAAATATCAAGTGCTAATGATTGTTAATCCATTTTTTTTTTCTTTTTGATAATTGTTAATCCATTTGTTGCATAATAAGTATTGTTAATAATATATATTTAAATATAATGTGTTTTCTTAAGATTTGATGAGAAAGTTGATTATTATTTTTAGTTTGCTTCTATTGATTTTGTTAAAAAGTAAAATAAATTGTTAACTTGAAAGATTAATAGATTTTTCTTAATTGGTTAAATTAAAAGGACACTTATTATATCAAAGAAAAGAGTAATTTTTATTGAATCGTGATCCCAAAATGGAATTTATTTAGCGTTTCCAAGTACTCTTATGTGTCACGAGTTTACTGAGGGAGGAACGGCTAAAATCAACCCCAACTATTTCTATGCGATTTTTTTCAACCTAAATTCTGACCCTATGTACTTATCCACCCGCACTCATATAATTTTTAAATAACAAACCTGAATTATATAATCGTTAGCCAATTTCAACACATACCCGCTATTAAATAATGTAATAAATTTGAATTATGTAATCGTTAGCCAATTGAATAAAAAAGATTAATCAGATACAAAAGAACAGATAATTATGACTTGACAATTCTAATCGACATTAACAAATACAACAAAATTATGTTGAAATTGACAGACGATTACCTAGTTCAGATTTGTTATTTAAAAATTATGTGGGTTCGAGTTGATAAATGAAGGGAATCAGAGTTTGAATTGAAAAAAGCCGCATGAAAATAGTCGGAGTTGATTTTGTTTGTTTTCCCGCTTATTGAGTGTGCATAGGTTGAATTATATCACTTTTTCACGTATATGTAATTTGATTTATAGAGAAATATCAGTTTTATGTTTAAATCTCAGATTATACCGAATAATATACGTTACATATTTGTGTTTCGAAGCCATATTTTTGCATGGCATTTTCTATATTGTGAGTTGGAAAATGTTATAAATTTTCGTGTGTAGATTTTGATTTTAGTAAAGGAGAATATAATAGGAGAGGGAGACCCATGTGGATAAGGGTCAAATATGTTGGTAATTGATAGAGGAATGGTAAAGCCATGTGCTTTCTTATGTATATGTCTCTTTAATTATTCATTAACTTATTTCCTACAAAAATGGGTTGTGGGGAGAGGTTCCACGTGCTATGTATTCATTGAATCATAAAACTTAAAAGAATGAACCAAAAGTGGTAATTTAATTCTCCCCATAGATTACGCTTAACTATGTTCATTTAGCTTCTAATCCGCATGCGATTTGATGTTAACGTACAGGCTTTATTCAATGGATTTACCTATTTTGGATATTGGGTCTGATTGGTAACAAGCTGTTAGCTGTTAGCTGGAGCGGTTAGCTGGAGCTGTTAGCTGTTAGGGAATAGTGCAAAGCTGTACAAAAAAATAATACACTAAAGCTGTAAAAAAAATAAAGCAGAACAAATTTTTAAAATTTACTCTGATTGGAAACATTATAGCGGTAGAAATAATAAATAATATTAAGAGTTTAGAAAAAAAATACATAGAAATGTATTTTAATATATAATTATATATGAAAATTTAAAATTATGTGATGACATTTAAATGGTTATGAAAAAATTAAAATTATACAAAAACGGTCCGGTTATGGTCCAAAATACGGTTATGATTAGCTTTTGGTCATGCCTAGTCGAAACCGTTAATTAACGGTAAACATATGAAAACCGTTATTTAACCATATGGTTAACCGCATAGTTAAAACTTTAAATTTATAATTGTAACTCCATATAATGCAAAAACAATTATCAAATGTTCAGATTAAGATTTTCAAAAAAGTAAATGATACCGCGTATGAAAAAATCTACGTCATAAAAAATGGTCTTTTTCTCAAACAAATATGTTATACTGTTATTTTGCTCGAAATGAAGAAAATTTGGTTTGTAACATACTTTTTGATTTTATGAAAAGTATTATAATAAGTTAGGTAACTCGTAAGATTTCGCCTCCGATATTAACCGTATTGTAGTCATCAAATAACTATAACCGTAATTATCCGTAACCGTTGTAACCGTAACCGTAACCGTTATAACCGTATTTAACCGTAACCGTTATAACCGTATTTAATCGTAACCGTATTTAATCGTAACCGTATTTAACCATAACAGTATTTAACCGTAACCGTTTTAATTTGTTTTTGTTTTTGTCCAAAAAAAACTGTTTATGTTATAGTGTACCGCTTTTCATAAAGTTTTTGTGATTGGTAACTGTCAAAGCTGTACAAAGCTGTTCAGCTTTAAAATGGGTTACCATTCAAAGCCATTATTTGTTTTCTCTTCTTTTGAGATAAAGATTCCTTCTATGTTCTTGCCCCTTCCATCACCAAAAGATTAGATAAGTAAAGCGATGCAAGATACGTTGCCTCTCTTCTTATAAGTATATAATTTAGAGGTTCTGATTGTCAGAGTTTAATGTATTGTTTTCATGTAAAAACGAACCCATGCAATGTATTTTCTCACAAATTGAGAGATGCACGAATGAATACCTTTTTTTCTGTTAATTGCACGGATGAATACTTTAAGTTAACCATATACAGATTTCTAAAATCACTTAACATGGTGGGAAACAAACTTCTTGAGAATAGTTTTTTCATGTTTGTGTGTTCATGCACGTTTTAGTCTAAGTGAGAAGTATTATTTAAAGATAACTACTAGATCTATGTGATGCTTATATAGATGATTGCTAAAGTTATTTGTTGATTTTACTCAACCTTTTTACTGAAACCCATTTAAGGAAGTACAAGAGAATTCAGTTACTGTTAATTATGGAGTTAATACCATGTATATATATTGAACATTAAGTTTTGCCCCCAAAAAAAATGAACTTAATTAAGCCAAATACAGTAACTATTTTTGGATGATTTTGGTTTGTGTGATCAAGTATTCAAGTTAATAGTTTAATTTTATGTACTGAACAACATGAATGTTTGCTTATTCTTTTATGTTAATATTTGAGTTTTTTTTTTTTACTCTACAAGGACTACAGATTTTGGTAAGAATTTCAACTTACATATGTTGAAGGAGGTACCTGAATACTTATATGAACTAGCAAATAGATTTTTTTTTTTTTTTCTGTTAGAAAATAAACCGTTTTTAATTATCGTAAGTATTTTTTGGTAAATTTTTGAATTTTATTTTACTTTATTTTTTAGTTTATACAAAAATAAATTAAAACTGTACAGAGATGATTTGTTTATGAGAACAGAGCCAAAATTAAGAGCAACACTGAAAGGATTTTGAAGATGAAAAACAGAGACTATGGAAGGAGACATGGCTATAGTATGTCATATATGTACAGTTTTGAAATTTAAATTTAGTATGATTTACTTGACTATAGTTTCATACCAAAACATTAAAATAATTTTGAAAATTTTAATTTAATGTGTAAAATGACTATAGACATAGTTTAGTATGTTTGACATGCCCATAGTTTCGTACCAAAACATTAAACTAATTTGAATGTTCTAACGAATTCAAAACATATATAGGCACCCAAAACAAAACAGAAAAAACATATTATAATTAAGGATTATAGAAATAATAATAAAATGATACGTTTAAAAGAAAATGAGTAAGTTAAAATGAGGAAGAGGAATGCTGTTGAAACACACAACTTGTCTTGTGATGCATACACAAGCTAGACTCCAAAGAGTCGTGTCTTTTGCAAATCGCATTCGTGTGTATCTCACAAAAGTTGGCTCCTTAAATTATTAAAGTTTTTTTGTTCCCTTTTCGACTCATCACTATCTTCTTCTTATCTCCACCTTCTTTTTTTTTTTTTTTTTTTTTCATATATATGATTTTTATTAACTATTAATGTAACATCTTACTTTTACTTATTTAGCCTTGTTTCAATCATCATGTCTTCAAATCAACTGTCAAGGAGATAAAATGTTGTTTTCAAAGTTATTTATCGCTACCCTTAAAGGTCGAGTGAATCCAAAACTCCCTTTCTCAGATCCAAAATTCGTATACAAACGCTAGGATTTGAAAAAAGTGACATGACTCTTATAGATTCACGAAATCATGATTAGGATCTCTATATATACAATCTTGAGTTTATTTTTGTGCCTTATTACATATTTCGTGGGGTTTAAACGATCCAAACAAGAGCAACCCTAATTAGCTGGATATGTCTCACTGTCTTTTCGTTGAAGCATTAATCATAACAGAAGCTGTTCCAAAGGCAACGTAGGGACCGGGCCAATACATTCGGACAGCAACATCGAACCAACTTTGAAGTATTGTCGAGAAATAATTAATTTTTTTGAAAAAATAGGAAACTTGTGGACAGCGTATAAGTGATCGTGGCTCGAAATATAGCCGATCATGATCTTGTGTTAGTTATCCTCTCAGTCAATTAATTCGATCTTGATATATATCTTTCTGCGTTTTAGTTTCTTGATGAATGTGCACTGATTACCATTCATGATAGAGACACTATGTTTCTGACCGGTTTGGTGCATAATTAAATAAGTAAATGTCGTTTATTGTTTAATACTAGTATTATGGGAATCTTGTTAGTAGCTCTTTACACATACA